AATTGGTTTTGTCAAAGCGGGCACGAGATTAGAATATTCAAAAAGTTCAGAGGCGTGAAATAAATATGCAATTGAAAGCCTTGGGTGGGGGCGGGGTAGAGTTGGGGGGGGGGGGTTTGAGCACTAATTTGGATTCTTATAAAGTGTATGTTTCGTCAAATTTTAAGCCCCACCCCCAAATAATTATTTTAATAGCATTTTTATTCGTGTGTTTCTTTCTTGCAAAATTTTTGGAAGGCGAAATGACCCACTTCTCGTCAGTCTATCGAGCTTAAATTTGGCACATAGACTCGTTGTCGATGACAAGATATTCCCCTCCCCAACCAAAAACACGGTTTTTCCTGTTTTTCAAGATGAAGTAAATTTTGTTATGTAATGATATCCTAAAAGAACTGTAAATGGGAAAAAAATAACTTAAAAAAAAAGAATCGATGACTGTATCTAGATGGTTCTTAAATACTCGGGTCATCAACTATATGCAGATTTTCATTTTCGTTATTTCATTGATTACATTACATTATTTAACTATTTATATTAACAGAGTTATAAAAATGATGATTGGGTAGTTTTAAAAAAAAAAAATGAATGCTCTTTATTTTTGAACACATTTTTCTCGACTTGACTTATAAATATTAAACTTATTAGAGAACTGGATATTGCCCTAAACTTGGGGTCAGGAACCTATGGCTCGCGAGCCAGATGTGGCTCTATTGATGGCTGCATCTGGCTCGCAGACAAATGTTCGATTATAAAAAAAATATGTTTCTTTAGACTCCTTTGATTAGCAACAGCATAACAATGTTATTAAAAAAATTCAGAGCCATAATTATTGCATTTTTAGTGTTGAAATTACACAAAATGCACACATTTACTTGAATTTTAGGTTTTAAACATAAATAATGTATGGCTCTCACAGAATTACTTTTCAAAAAAATATGGTGTCCATGGCTCTCTCAGACCAAAAGGTTCCCAATCCCTGCACTAAACAGTTATAAGTTTGCGTTGAGAAGAAAGCGCAATAATTATAATCTAGCATTCTTGATTGAAGAGAAAAAAATTTTGGCCAGTATGGGGATCGAACCCACGACATTCGCGTTATTAGCACGACGCTCTAACCAACTGAGCTAACCGGCCAGTTACTCAGTCCTGACTTTTAAAAATTATAATTTAAATTATCTTAATTTCTAGCGTTTATTTCTTTAATTATTTTTTGGATTAAATTTACAAGTAGAAGTCTTGACGTGGTTTATTCAGTATTAAGGTCCATTTAAATTTAGTTTAAAACCTATTGTAAGTTTATTTATTTAGATTAATGGCGAAAGTTAGTAGTAATGACATAATAGAAACCGGAAGCACATGTTTATTATTTCTAACTTTTACTTTTTGCACAGCGTGGAATGAGTGTGAGAGGGAGTCAAATTTGATCGAATAAAATGTCTGGACATTTAGGTACCGGTAGCTAATTTAGCCACTTACTTATATAACTGAAAAAAAAAAGAAATATATTTTAAACTTATATTATCCTCGTAGTATTCTTACAATTTTATTAAATTGCAATATTTTTTTAAAAGTTCGCAATAGAATTTGAATTGAATATTTTTCTGAACTTTCTCTCCACCCAAGACCAGCCAGGGTAACAATAAATAATTGTATAAAGCCGAAGGCATAAGTTGAATAAGAGAATAAAAAAACAATTTTAGAGCGTGGCTGGTGCCAAACTCAAACTGTCTTTTCATTTGCGCGCATCCACATATCCACATTGTGTGTGAGTGTGACACTCAAGGGACAGTGTCATTTGGCATTTGGATCATCTAAGACTAAGTTAAAATTAAAGTCTTGATTCTTTCTGATAAACCATTTAACCATGGTGGACCATGACCTGTCCATGACCATACACTGAGCATAACCTGACCATAGTCTGTCCATCGTCCATAGTCATACGGACCAACATTATTATCATAGTAATTACATGGACATGATTGTCATACTGTTCATAGTAATAATAGTCTTAGACTCTTCTTAGTCATAGATTTTGTGTCTGATTCTATCTGAACTGTGCTTGATGATTGCATAGAATATGGTTACAGGTATAAACCACCCATCCGTCCATCACAATATGCATTATGAATATGTGAATAATATATATTTTCGTAGGCACTCCTGTAAAGTGATCCCACTTCCAATTGGCGCACAGACCCTCTTTCATTGTCAATTTCATCGAAAATTCAGTGGCCCTCTCTCCATTGACCATGGTGTTATTTCCATTAAAATAGCACTTTGGACCAGAATAACACAATTTTTTTTTTTACCATAAATTTTAAATAACTCGTCAGTTAATTATTATGGTAAATTATTAGACGGTAGTAAAAAAAAAATTTTTATTGAAAAAACTAGTGGCTTCATATTTTCTGGATTAATTGGGGGTATACATCACAATATGTGCAGTTAGCTGTCAACTTAGCGGCATGAGCTTTTTAATAATTGTCTCGTCAGTGAGGTCACTTTGGCTTTGGGGAATCCCAATACTGGGCTTAGGGTAGGGTGACCAAATCATGAACTGGAAAAAACGGGACACAACCAAGTAGGGTTGGGGGGGGGGGGTGATACCCTCCAGCTAAATAGGGGTCCGGGAACCTCTGCCAGAAACTGTTAATTGAAATATGCTCATTTTAACTATTTGCAGACCTAGAAATCTTTTTAAATTTACCTTCACTTTTTTAATTTAATTTAAAATCTGAAGCATATCATAAACGAAAACAATAATTTTGCAGTGAATACTTATTAGTGTATCCATAAAGATCTATGGCAGGGACACTGTCATTTATGCAGAGTGGTGGAGTGGGGGGAACAGTGCAGCCATCACGAGCCCACATAACTGCTGGCACTGGCTAAACAGCTAGTCAAAATATTACTTGAAGTTATATTGTAAATTAGGAAGTTTTAGGGATTTGAAAATGTGTTTGGTTTTAGAAACGGGACAGTTAGGTGTCCATAGAAACTTTTTCGAGACACCGGGTATGATCGTGAAAAAACAGGACGTTTGGTCACCCTAACTTAGGGTGACAGGTTGGACCTGTTCTTTACTGTACATTATTCATGTCAAAAACATAGACATAATTCGACGATCAGTACAATTACTTTGAAATAAATAAAAAGGAAATTTTCAAAAACGTTTTTTATAAAATTCAACTTTCAAGGTTCACTCTTATACCCCAAGATGAGTGCATGGTTAAAAGTCCTGTTTCTTTATCACTTGAAATCTAGGTAATGTACCCATATGCTATTTATATAATGTTGAAATTTAACGGGACATTTCAGCATAGTTTTCTGGGTATGGGAGAGATGGGGACACCCCCCCCCCCTCCCACACACACACAATTTCAATTCATAAATAAGAAACAAAAATAATTTCTGGGCCCTTCCCCCTCTTTCAAGACAAATTTTAAAAATGAGGAACAAACCTTATTAAATGAATACAGAGCCGAATTTTGAAATGTTTTGAAAAAGTAAACTGTGGCTGGTAGTTGAACTGGGGAAACATTTTTTTATACATATATATTTATATCCTACCCTTAAAGAAAAGAATAAGAATGGTCAAAAGACCCTAATGAAAACAAAGCACATGAGAACAGAAAGGATGTATCCCTGCACATGAAACGAGGATGTCAAAACGACCACCTGTAAAAAGTAAAATGCAATGCTAAAGATACTGTATTGATTAGTTAAGAATACTGGTAGTAAAATGTTGGTGACTCTGTACAGCTTGTAATTTCATATCTGAAAGTAAGGATATCTATTTAAGCCTACCCATCACTATCCTTAACTTTTTTAACAACTGAAGTATATAAGGCTTAAAAAGGGACATCATTTGATATTTGAGAAAAAAGGCAGTCAGAAGCTTTAACTCTATTAGTATTGAAGTACCAGTATGTAATTTCAATCATTTTGCTATTTCACTGTACACTCAAATATAAAATATTAGTTAATTATATGTACTGGTATTCTATAAATGCATTTTTTTAAAAATGTACAGTATTTAAATAATTATTTAACATTGATACTTCAAACTCATATTATCCCTATATCTTTAAAAAAAAAATTCAACATTTTAAAAGAAAAGCAAAAAAATGGGAGGAGAGGGTCAGGACCGAGGAAGTGAGAGAAATTGGTATCCATTAGTTACATAGTTTCTTGGCTTTTATAATCTTTTTAATACCGGTACTGAATTTTAGCCTGGAGTAATCCTGGGGAACCTCCATGATTTATTTACAGGGGAAGAAATTGTCAGCAATACCCCTAACCCCACTGTAGCAGTATGCCGATATTGAGGAGGTACATTAGGCAATCTACCCTATTGCTATTGGCTATTGCATTGTCCATACTGTTATTGATAAAACTAAAACAGTTTATCCTCCTTTATTTGGTTACTTGAGCACTGCCGGCATGCTGAGCTGTCTTGAGTTTTTGGGTTTCCCTTCTCTTAGATGGGTTACTATCCAAGATTGATGAGTTCCATCTATCATCAATGGCACTACAGCCCATGTAGGGCCCTGGCCTGCTCCACCACATCCTTCCATTCGGAGCGATCAATGGCTTTCCGTCTCCATGCTCGAACCCCCAACTGGTGTAAATCTGTCTCCAGATCATCAATCCACCTCATCCTTGGGCGACCGATGAGTCGTCTGCCCCTAGGCTTCTGCCTGTATATAATTTTGGCTGCTCTGCATTCCGGCATCCTTTCAACATGACCTGCCCAGCGTATTCTGCCTTTTTTTATCATTGTGACTATGGGTGGTTCTTTGTACAAATAGTAAAGTTCTTGGTTTGTACGTATTCTCCAGATATCATTTTCTATCACTGGTCCGTATATTTTGCGGAGGATTTTCCTCTCCCATGTGTTGAGCAGGTTCTCTGCTTTTCTGGTGAGGGTCCAGGTCTCACTAGCGTACGTTACTACAGGTCTTATGATGGTGGTGTATATTGTCTTCTTTGTTCCCCTTGATCAGTTTTTGTTTCCCAGTAGCTTTTGTAGGCTGAAATAGGAACGTTTGCCTGCTGTTATCCTTTCTTTCACCTCTGACATTATCTCATTGTGCTCATTTATAGTTGCCACTAGATATTTGAATGTGGCCACTCTCTCAAATTTGTGGTTATTTATATTGTTATTATCAGCATGGGAGTTTCTTGAAATTATCATATATTTTGTCTTCGGTTCATTTATATCAAGGCCAGCTTTGAATGAGGCATTTTCAAGTTCCCTGAATGCTTTAATTATGTCGTTACGGTTTCTACCCAGTAGTGCTATATCATCTGCATATGCCAGGTACTGCAATGGTTGGCTATATAAGGTTCCTGATGGTTGTTGCTCTGTAGTATCTCTCTGGAAATAGTTTGTTATGGTTCCACTGGTGCTAATGTGAATGCTTCTAATAACTTTTTCTAGCGTGATGTTAAACAGGATACATGATAGTGAGTCTCCTTGTCTGAGGCCCCGATTAACTATGAACTCCCTAGAATATTCTCCCTGAACCTTGATTCTGCTTTTGGAGTTGGCCATTGTCATGTGTATGAGCCGAGTAAGCTTGTTAGGGACTCCAAGTTCTTGTAAAGCATTGTATAAGTAATTCCTGTTTATGCTATCTTATGCTGTTTTGTAATCCACATATAGTTGGTGTATGTCGATGTTATATTCGTAGCATTTCTCCAGGAGACATCTTATAGTAAAAATATGATCCGTGGTTGACCTATTCTGCCGGAATCCACATTGATAGTCCCCTAGGATCTGTTCACTATAATTTTCCATTTTTCTCGCTATAAGTTTTGTGAGAATTTTGTACATTACATTAAGAAGGGAGATACCTCTATAGTTTGAGCTTATCAACTTTGATCCCTTTTTTTGGATTGGGATTATGAGTGCCATGTCCCATTCAGTTGGCATTTCTTTCTCCTGCCAGATTCTGGTTATAAGTTCGTATAGTTGGTGTATGTCGATGTTATATTCGTAGCATTTCTCCAGGAGACATCTTATAGTAAAAATATGATCCGTGGTTGACCTATTCTGCCGGAATCCACATTGATAGTCCCCTAGGATCTGTTCACTATACTTTTCCAATTTTCTCGCTATAAGTTTTGTGAGGATTTTGTACATTATCTATCTAGAGTGCTAGTGTTGATTTGTCTGTCTTGTCATCTCTGCCCTGACCTGACAAATTTAATGTTATTTATTCGCTATCATTCTTATTGCTTCTTCTTCTTCATAAGGCATAAGAAGAAGATTCTTATTGCCAGTTCCAATCAAATTGTGCAATCAAAATGTCAACAAACAGGAAGCTCAGTAACTGTGTTCGAGCTTGAATTACATTTATCATTGGAATGTGTACTGCATAGAGGCAGGGTTTTAATGGTAATACTCTTGTCTCTTTCAGCACTCCTCAGTGTTTCTGACAAAACTGGTTTGACAGCACTAGCACAGCAACTTTCAGCTGAAGGCTTCAAACTTGTAGCTTCTGGTGGAACAGCGAAAGCACTTAGGGATGCTAACATTCCTGTCAGGTTTGTAATTCATTTAGCAAGTGATACTCTCACTTTTATGGAAGAAATGAAGTAATGTTTGGGCTAAAAGGACTATCATAATTCTATAATTCTTTTATGGTGTGATTGAATTTTTCAAAATTAAGATACCCAATTTTATTTAATGGGATTCTTGTGTTATATATATTACTTTCAGTGATGTTGAAGAACTGACTGGAGCACCTGAAATGTTAGGAGGGCGGGTAAAAACCCTACACCCAGCAGTTCATGGAGGTATTTAATACTGAATAGGTTTGTTTAAAGTTATGGGTATAAATATTTATATTTATTTATTTGTTATATGAAAAATAACCTACCTCATAAGGCATAAGGACTCCCTAGACTTATTGTTAGCAGATTTTGGGATAAACTAGTCTCTCAACATAGATTTTTTAAAATATTATTCTATTGACTTTTAACGTGACTTCTAATAGATTTCTAACTCGAGCAAAAAAATTGTCAAATTCACTAATTTCAATTTAGGTTTAAATTTAACCTTCCTTTAAATATATTGGTAGCCAGATTTATTATCAAAATAACCTAATGCAATGCTATCAGAATCCACAGTTAAATAAAGGGATATTGAAACCCTCAACATTTTAAAAAACTAGGTTTACAGTACAGTGATGGCTTTAAAAAAATTCCAAAGGTGTCCTGAGCATAAATAATTTTGTTTTTGAATTTCAGGCATTTTGAGCAGGTTAAATGATGCAGATCAAGCTGATCTTGACAAACAGGGTTACAAAATGATCAGGTATATATCAGATTTATCCATTTGTGAAATTGTTTGCTTTCTTTTGGCTTTCGTAACATTATAATTATAATTTATATCATATGTTCATTATTTCCCCAGAGTTGTTGTTTGCAACCTATATCCATTTGAAAAAACCGTATCTAATCCTGATGTGACTGTAGAAGATGCAGTTGAACAAGTTGATATTGGTAATTTTAAAAAAAATGTTTGACTTAACATTACTTCTAAATAGTACAGCGTTGTTAGACACCTTAGTTATTAATAATGTAAGCCCGTAGTGTTTTAAAAGCAAACAACATGCTTTGACCTTTTTTTTCCCATTTGCAATACTTGTCATTATCTAGGTGGAGTTACCCTTTTAAGGGCAGGGGCAAAGAACCATGGTCGAGTCACTGTCATTTGTGATCCCCAAGATTACCAAAGGTAAGGTCTCATGAGTTGAAATTGATTGACGTCGTCAAGGATCTTTAGATCGTCTGTTTATAATTACTGGTGAATAATTATAAAATTGTTCAGTCAATATTACTGTATGATATCCCTTTGCTACCATACTGCTGTTAAGGAAATATATTCTCTCTAGTTCCAAATGAAATATTTAATATTTTTTTTTTTAGATTTAAAAAATATTTGTGTAGATGTTAATTTGATCAAAAGATCATGAACACAAATTTTTTTCAGGCTTACTATTTTATTTTACATTGGACTTCAACTTCCATGTTTACTTGACCTTGATTATTATATTTATTTTAACGCCTTTAATTCAGGGTAATTGATGAGATTAGAGCATCAACTGATAAGGATACCAGTTTGGAAACAAGAAAAAGTCTGGCTGTTAAGGTCTGTTTTTCTTGCAATCTTAGACCTATTTATATATCACACTTTGCTATTCTGATATACTGGATAAATTATCAGAGTTTCGGGTGATCCCATTTTCTCTTGAAATTAAGAAACTATTTCAGTATTGTTACAGATGCAATGATGAGTCATTTGTCTCGTTCGTATTACATCATAAATGATGGATGATTTGAGATTTTTTGACTGAGCATTTATTACATTGTGTGGTGTGGTAATTAATTTCTATCAGGGAAGACACTGTCATTAGTTTAGTCTACTATTTACTAAATTTTCATTTTCCAGCCTCCCTTTCTTTAAATTCCAGGCTTTTAATCACACTGCTGGCTATGATGCTGCCATATCAGATTACTTTCGTCGCCAGTACAGTGCAGGCCAGTCTCAGATGACTCTGCGTTATGGCATGAATCCCCACCAAACACCGGCTCAGATCTATACCACACTTCCACAGCTCCCTATCAAAGGTATATTCAGATTTTGGCACCATGTTCTACCAGTTAAATCATGTGTGCAAATGATAAAGTAACGGCAGTGATGGACCTGCACATTATAATGTGGATGCCTAGTTTGTCGCTGAAAGTAATATTTAAATATTTTTCTCACAGTTGTCAATGGCAGTCCTGGATTTATCAATATTTGTGATGCTTTGAATGCTTGGCAACTTGTGAGAGAGCTTAAACAGGGGCTTAAGTTACCAGCCGCTGCTTCATTCAAGCATGTTTCACCAGCAGGTAGGACCACTGTTATGTTATAAGCCATTACTTCCTAAGATTCTGATCCTTGTCACTAGTTGGTTCTAGGCACTGATAGCATGATCACATTTTACTTAATGTGCTTATTGCCATTATGTTAACATTTTTATCTTATAAAGGGTGCATTGATGAGTCTAATGTCTCGTTCGTATTACATCTTATATGATGAATGATTTGAGATTTTCTTAACTGAGCATCTTATGATTTAATAAAGCTTGACACACAGTTTTATTTAAAACCACAGTTCAACTTCAAATTTTATAAACCCCCTGATTAGGCAAGATCCATATGATGTCCTAAAGCAATAGAAGGTACTCATTCAAAATATTCAGTTAGGAAATGGAAAGCATAGAGTTTTCATGAAGAGAAAAATAATTATGATGGGGCGCAAATAAAATTGGAAAGTTTTTAAAAAAAATATTTGTGCATGGTAGAATTGACATGAATCCTCTGAGCTGTTAAGAATCATTTGTTAGTGAGCTTTTAATGCAAGAGATAAGGGGAGATGATGACTTATTTTTTTCTACATGTGTTGTAGTAAGTTTAACTCCACATGACGTCCGATTTTACTAGAATTCGTTAAACTTAATTATAAGTGAGTTGGTGTTTAGTGTATTTAAAACCACAGTTCAACTTCATATTTTATAAACCCCCTTAGAGCTCTGATTAGTCAAGATCCATACGATGTCCTAAAGCAATAGAAGGTAATCATTCAAAATATTCAGTTAGGAAATGGAAAGCATAGAGTTTTCATGAAGAGAAAAACTAAAATAATTATGATGGGGTGCAAATAAAATTGGCAAATTTTTACAAAAATATTTGTGCATGGTAGAATTGGCATGATACCTCTCAAAATGGTAAAGCCGGTCTGTGAGCCCTTATTCACCAGTCTGTAACAGATTATTAAAACATTTAGCAGAGCACTAATAAATATAATATTAGTGCCTGTGGCCCAATCTGCAATGCTTACAAAGCATGGATCTGTACATCATGAAAGTACTTTCATTTTGTATTTTTATTTATTTCCCTTCATTATGATGATGTAAAGGTTTCATATGGCAATGATGAGTTAACTGTCTCGTTCGTATTACACCATTACTGGTGGATGATTTGAGATTTACTTACTGAGCTGCTTAGAATCATTTGTTAGTGAGCTTTTATTGCAAGAGATAAGGGGAGATGGTGACTTATTTTTTTCTACATGTGTTGTAGTAAGTTTAACTTTATTATAAGTTAAACTTAATTATAAGTGGGTTGGTGTTTAGTCCCAAAATTTCATAACACTAATGTAGTACAAGTCAGTGCAATGTAGTTTTAAGACATTGTATCTGAAGTGCTTTACTCCAGTGGGTTTATTTTTTATGGAACTGTTTTGTTCTTTATTTTAAATAATAAATTGTTATATTTTGGGCCTCTTGCAAGTTCTTGCATAGCATTTAGACTGATATTGCTATGTTATTTTGTTTAAGTTACTACTTGCTATGATGAGTTAACTGTCTCGTTCGTATTACACCATTACTGGTGGATGATTTGAGATTTACTTACTGAGCTGTTAAGAATCATTTGTTAGTGAGCTTTTATTGCAAGAGATAAGGGGAGATGATGACTTATTTTTTTCTACATGTGTTGTAGTAAGTTTAACTCCACATGACGTCCGATTTTACTAGAATTCGTTTAAACTTAATTATAAGTGGGTTGGTGTTTAGTCCCAAAATTTCTTAACACTAATGTAGTACAAGTCAGTGCAATGTAGTTTTAAGACATTGCATCTGAAGTGCTTTACTCCAGTGGGTTTATTTTTTATGGAACTGTTTTGTTCTTTATTTTATATAATAAATTGTTATATTTTGGGCCTCTTGCAAGTTTGTGCATAGCATTTAGACTGATATTGCTATGTTATTTTATGTTTTTAAGTTACTACTTGCTATGATGAGTTAACTGTCTCGTTCGTATTACACCATTCCTGGTGGATGATTTGAGATTGTTTTACTGAGCCTATTGAGAAAAATTAAATGTGTCTGTGCTATACACTGTAATGTGCGTGAACAGATAACAGAAAAGAAGCAAGAAATAAAAATTATTTCAGTATATTTCTGTATGGTTTTATTTCTAATGTCAAAGTTTACATTTTGTTCTATGCTTTGATTTATGATACAATTTATCAGTGGTTTTCAATTAATTGTTTATTTTTATCTTTCTAATTTTTGTTCACCCGTGGCTAACCATCAGAGTAGCACTGCTCTAAGAATGATGCGACGATGCTATCTGTACCTTTGAAATAATACATAATCAACATTCATTTTTCAATGGTTTTTTTTTTTTTTGCCTTTCTTATATTTTATGTGTTTTAAATTTTAGGTGCAGCTGTTGGTTTTCCTCTGTCCCCTGAGGAAGCTAAGCTGTGTATGGGGGATGACTTGAAAGAGTTATCTCAATTAGCCATAGCTTATGCTAGAGTTTTTGTTCACCCGTGGCTAACCATCAGAGTAGCACTGCTCTAAGAATGATGCGACGATGCTATCTGTACCTTTGAAATAATACATAATCAACATTCATTTTTCAATGGTTTTTTTTTTGCCTTTCTTATATTTTATGTGTTTTAAATTTTAGGTGCAGCTGTTGGTGTTCCTCTGTCCCCTGAGGAAGCTAAGCTGTGTATGGTGGATGACTTGAAAGAGTTATCTCAATTAGCCATAGCTTATGCTAGAGCAAGAGGTTTGTAAGAATCTTTAAGTAGTGTTTCCTTAATTTATTATATATACCTTTAAATATAAGTTTGTATTCAATGAAAAGGGTTAAGTTGAGCTTAAGTGTTATGATATCATGGTTTAGTTCTGTTATGTACAGATTGTTTTATTAGACAGCAATGACAATTTCTATGTTAAAACTTTTAGGTGCAGACAGAATGTCTTCATTTGGTGACTTTATTGCACTTTCTGATATCTGTGATGTACCCACTGCTAAAATTATCAACCGTGAAGTGTCAGATGGTTTAATAGCTCCAGGCTATGAACCACAAGCCTTGGAAATTCTCAAGTCAAAGAAAGGAGGAGCATATTGTGTCTTACAGGTGATTTAAAACCATTATCCCTTACACATACAACACTGATCTACTTGTGTCTTACCTGCCCTAAAATATTATGCTGCATGTACACTTTGTTTCAACAGGTGGCATTGGAAAGTTTATCAGTGTACAGTAATTTTATAAATTTGCTGAAGGCTTGATGATATCAATCAGGGATGAATAATAAAAAATTTGATTAAATATGTTATGAAATCGGTGAACTGAATTTATATAAGATTAATCATAAATCAGAAACTTACTAGTCATTTTTATAAAAATGCTTTCTTTTACTACTTCTAAATTTGTTTTTTTAGATTGATCCAGAGTACAATCCTCCAGAGATGGAGACTAGGACTTTATTTGGTCTTCAGATGCAGCAGAAAAGAAACAATGCTGTTATAGATGATAAATTGTTTACAAATGTGGTCTCCAAGCGAAATCAGGTATTGTTTTATTTAATTTTGTTAGTCTTAAGAATATTAATTTAACAATGTGGGGGTCAGATGGCAATAAATCTCAACTAGATCAATAAAGCACAATTGCTTAAATTAAACAGCATGATTATGCTTAAATTTCATTTGTCATATTTTTTAAAGTCATTTAGACAACTGCTTTTAACCCATGAACGTGGCATGCATCATTCTGTGGTGTGGAGCTTTTCAGAGCGTTTTGAGTGCCATTTGAAATTGCATTAAATGACATAGAAATATTGATACAAGACCCCCATAAGTATTAATTTTTCAAAAGTTAAATGGATGGGGATAATGTTGGCCATATTGCAAAACCTGTAAAAAAAATTTGCTCAGTGTCCTTGACCTTGGAGTTCTCAAGAAAAAAAAAATCGACAAAATGTCTTGCTTTCAAGTGTTCATAACATCATTAATTTTTATAGATACACTTAAAACACAAAGCTAAATGTTGTAGCCAAATCATTTATCTTTCAGAAAATGTATAGCTTGCTAAGGAGGTCTTGATTGCAATTAAACCTCTGAAAGCAGTTTGAGTAATTTTAGGTCATTTGTATAAGAAACTGGGACCACTGCAAAATAAAAATCTCAGGCAAAATAGTTATTATTGACTAGTAAACATTTAAAAAGGAACCATGGAACTGATTTGGGTTGTTTAACTATAAAATTTATTAGTTCTGAACTATCATCTGTAGCTTCTGTAACTAAAATTCAGTCAGTCCTTGCCCAACCTCCAGGCCTGGCTCGAAGTCTAACAGTAGCATCAGTAGACCTATTTCAGTATCACTAAGACTAGTATAAAATTCACGAGAAGAATAATCTTAACTGATATCGTCATGGGGAATGTTAAAATCATCATCAGTATCACTTAAAGCCTCTCCTAAAAAGCTTTCAAACATATTTCTATTAGTTCTTGCACTGAAGACCCAGCCATAGCTTCAACCATTTTAGCTTTTAAAAAAACAGCGATATAAAACTCTGATTAAAAAGTATTTATTTTCAAGTTATCACGAAACAGTTTGAACCGGAAGATGATTTAATTATTTATATAGGGAAGTGGCTATAATTCCGGTTAAATATTGGATTGGAAGTTGCAGACCGTGTTTTTTTTTTCAAATTAACGTATCTTAAAACAATAAGGATGCTTGTCTTTTCTTCTCTTCTTAAAACTGTCTTGTCAGTGCTCTAATTTATTTCTCAGTTGCCAGAGAGTGCTATCAGGGATCTCATAGTGGCTACAATTGCACTCAAATATACTCAGTCCAACTCTGTGTGCTATGCTAAGGATGGCCAGGTAATCTTTAATTACTTAGTTTCATGTGTAATATTGATTTGAAATGGAGGATTGCATTGACCTGCTCCAAGCAAAGCTTAATTTATTATCTGTTTTGTGAGCAAGTTTGGAATGTCTTGATTCATGATTTGGGTTAGTATTCTTGTATATAAATGTCATTGATCCAAGGGGATATTAGAATGATCAATCCATTGATGGTGGGCCCTCATTGAAACACCAGCGCACATTATTCATTGTCACACCCAAACAAAATATGTCTGAAAAAAACTAATTATTTCCATAGGAAACAATTTTTTGCTATTAGTTAGAAAATATTTGTACTGTATCCTTGTATGAATTTACATTTATTAAGGTAAATGGAAAATGTACCTTAATTTGTCATATCTTTTCATCTGGGTTTAGCTGTGGTAAGCCTGAAAACAATCCATATAGATGTGTGTATTTGACTCGCATACAGCACAAATAAATACAGTTTGTCAGTACTACTTCTGCTACTAGGCTTATACAATTAGAATCTGCCTCTGCATCCGAAATCATACTATCACTGCTTGAATCGTAACCAAAAACTATTCCCACTTCTTGTTCATCAGTGTAATATTTTCTACTTTTATGAGATCGATCCCCAGATGGGCCAGGTCCACATTTCATGTTTGTAAACAAAGATTAAAACAATCAAAACAGGAACTCCTGATGTTTGTCCAAAGGGATATCATTCTAGATTTGATTAAAAGTAATTTAAAACAAATACTAAGAAGAGAAACAAAACAAAACCGTTTTTTTATGCATCGACGATTTGATCGTCAATCCCACGAATACACTATTTAAAATCGATTGTGAGCTTTAATCCGGAGACAATGAGCTAATAATAAATACAAGATTATTATTATGTTGTGTGACGAGAGGGAGAAAGTTATTTCTCGTAGGGTGGTGTTGATAATAAAAATTAAAATTGTGAACTTGTATCTCCCTTCATGTCATTAAAGAAGAGCTATAGATAATTGAGAAATTGTTTTCGTTTTACTGTAATTATTGCACTAAGTGTGCCTGGGCAAGTTGAGAGAGTCATTTAACATTATACCCTTGACATCCAAAGCCTGAATTGTCAGACAGTGGCTAAAAGTACGTTGTCTAGAGTTCGGGTCCCCTTTGTTATGGCCACAATTGGAGTAAAAAATTCCTTTCCTCCTAGCCCTTGCAGAGCTCATGCGTTGTATGATTCAAATAGCACTAAAAAAAAGCTGTAAAAAAAGTTGAGGTTTATTTATTTATTGGCTTGGTATTTTATATGACAGTAGAAAAGGCACAAGAAATAATCACTGTATTCAGAATAAAATAGGTAAGTGTTTTGAGTATGAGAGTTAACTAATAATTTTGTGCACTGTATATTGTGTCGTGTGTCAGGAGAGAGTTAGTTAATGAACATCCTTCCTGCATTTTACTTGGTGAAGTATTTTCAAGGTAATTATAACGTATTGTGTAGTCTGTCTTAGACTTACACATGCTTATGTGTGAGCAGTCGTAAAGATCCTTTTTACCAGGTGGTTGTGTATTAATCTCTCTTATTGCGAGCTGTGCTATACATGTGTTTAATTCAGTATATAACCTGTTAAAGATATATTTATAGATTAAAGTTTCATGTTTCTGTCGCTGTAGAACAATGTATGAAGAATTTAATGAATTAAACTAATAAAATATATGGAGTTTGACAGTGTCAAAAAAATCCTACAAATTTTATCACAAAAAATATAGGAACAGAACTCCTAGTGGAAATATAATTCTCCATTCAAAAATAATATTCACTCTTGCTCACAAAAATGTCCACAGCTTTCTTACCACAAGGTTTTAATCAACACTCAGCTGCGGTCATTCATGGCTGAGTCAGACCTGTTTACTCTTACGATTTTGGCGTACAATGTACGATTTTGAGGTGTAAACATTATAAATACGGTATGTTTTTTTTTTTACTATAATTGTAAGGTACTGAACAATTATGTGATGATATTGTACGATTTTAAGAGTTTGAGAGTAAACAGGTCTGCTGAGTTAAATTCGTGATTACAGGGAAAATAGCAATACGGAAAATCATACTATCATTCACTCACAATATCACAACAGGACACGGCAGAAATACATAATGTAATCTGACCCTTGTAACTTTTGCAACATAAGTTATTTCTTAACACTTAGTACAAAAAAAACCTTCATTTTTTTTCAAATCTTAATAAGTATATTGTATTTTTGTAAATGTATTCCTGCAGGTTATTGGCATAGGAGCTGGTCAACAGTCACGTATACATTGTACAAGACTGGCCGGGGATAAGACAAACAATTGGTAAGGGTGAAGTTTTGTGAATCTTATACTACTTATGAATGTTTTACACATAATGTAATTCAAGTGAACCAAAATAATCTGTAGGGTTTATTGAAAAGTGGTCAAGAGCTGAAGTATGAGTCATCTTGTTTGTTTCAATGTTTTAGATAATGTTTATTTTTATTATAACCCTCAGCATCCTGAATTAATATAATTTTCTTGAAACCCTCCCCAGGTGGTTGAGACAGCACCCTAAAGTAATGGGAATGAAGTTTAAGAAAGGTGTTAAGAGACCAGAGATTTCTAACGCTATTGATAACTTTGTCTTGGGCACTGTTGGTCAGGTAGAGTCCTTGTCAATTAGATATAGTTTAATATTTGTAAAGTAATTATTATTATTTTAATTTGCAAAGTAAATGCATGGCTTATGAAAAGGGCTCCGTCTTTTTGGCAAAAAACGCTCTGTCGCAGGGAGGGGTTAAAAGTTATTTTTCTCAATTTAAAAAAAGTAAAAAAGGATTATGGGTTTCTAAATGATAAGCAGAAATCTGACTATGGTTTAACATCTTTAGTAGCTGTATTGTGTTACTGCTAATTTGCAATGCTCTTTCAAAGTTGTGGATTGGCGTTTTATTTAGAAATGGTATATTATAACAAACATTATTTGGTACTTTGTATACTAGACTCTTTTTTACCTGAATGTTACTTAAAAATAAAAGAAGGGCACAATATCTTAGAAAATCGTTTATATTATTTAATATTTTTTAATAACTGTTGATGGAGGATTTTAAAAAAATGATAAAATGAGTGATTACATAGTTGGTTACCATGTTAAAAAGCCATTCACTTAAAGAACAAGGAACTATTATGACAATGAATTTTTGGGATTTTAAAATAAACTAATTTGAATGTTACAATTTCTCCAGGATGTGGACCTTGCCAGCTGGGAAAACCTGTTTGAAAACCCACCTAGTCCATTAACTGAGGTAAATTCAGCTTAAGAGGAGCGAATTATGTCGATAGGTTGATGTCCATTATTTTGAAAAATATCATGTCCTTAAGAATAGGGTTCCCAAAAAAGGGGATTTTAAAGCAGAAGAGTCATTTTCTTTCAAATTGTTATACAAATAACTTTATATTTTTTTTCTTCATTAACATTTTCTAGTGTAGTAAGTCACTAGTTGACTTTTTAAATTCTTTGTAATTCATTAAAATAATGCCTTTTCTTTTACTTTTACTAAATTTTTTAAAAAGCAATATCACTTTTAGTAAGGGGCGCAAAACTAGTAAGGCTATGTTTACCCTGGCTCCGAATTTCACAGACTTTCAAGAAATTCAGTAGAAAGACGATTGCAATAACAAAAGTCTCATGACAATTCTCAAACCTGACACTTCTTACTTTCGTAGATGTTCTAAAAGTAGACTTAGCATAGGTCTACCACTTCAGAAATATGATAGTATAATAGGATTAAAGTAGTGTCGCATTGGATTTAATTTATTCTAGAATTCTATCTTAGAAACTTACACCATTGTCTTGATAGCTACATTTTGTAATTGTCATTTTTAGGAGGAGGAATTAGTACGGTAGATGTTACATAGTTAATTTGTTTCTTTTGAAACCATAAATCGTTAAACTGTCATTTAACACTAGTCATTAAAGGTCATAGGCTGTTGTCAAGATAAATCCTTTTTTTATTGCTGATTAAACTCAGAAGCAATTTAAACGATGTCAGACTAATTTCTCTACGGAAAGATCTGTCATGGATGCCCATGATTTACAGAGCTAGTGTAAACGCAACCAGCCTACAAAATTGTGTATGTGGTGAAAACCACAGAACAGGTTGATAACCTTATAAAGTCTTGAATTGCTTTCCAATTATGTGAGAACTGGTGTGAATTGCTATATGACTTATCTTTTTTTAAAGTAATAAACTTAACTGCACGGCACAACATGGCTGTCATCTTAACTAGATGTGCTAGAGAAAATCTGTAAAAACGTGGACAACAGGTTATTGTTGAAACTGAATAATGGGATTATTGTGTCTGCACATTTATTTAAATTAATTTCCTTATTTGAACAGGAAGAAAGAAAGGATTGGATCTCCAAGTTAAAAGGAGTATCAGTCAGCTCCGACGCCTTCTTCCCATTCAGAGATAGTGTGGATAGAGCCGTAGAGGTTGGCTTTGTTGTTTAATTTTCTTTTTAACCCTTTACCGGGCAGAGCGGCCGAAAACGTCTTTAGTACTGAATGGGCAAAAGCGTCCGTGACCTCAGAGTCTTTGCGAGACTTCCTATTTTTTTGTAGTTTTAGGGGTTTAAAATAAAAAAAATTCTAAATGGATTTTGCCAATTATTTGCCTATTATTCAAGTGATAGAGATTTCGCTGGATTCAATTTAAGTGACATTGAAGTGCACGAAGTGACTGTAAATTGGAACTAGATATTAATATTATTAGTAATATTAGTGAAATCAGCTTAGTAAACAGTGTTGAATTTTACAAATTTTGATTTTTTGGCAGTGTTTGTAAATAGTAAATAGATGACTCACAATCACAAACAATGTGTTGTTTTTTGCAAATATCTGTGTTCATATGAGGATTAATTAATGTCAAGTTGTGAGTAAAATTATAAATCGGCATTCATTTTCCTTTATTTAGCTTTTTATTTCAAAAAAATTTGTTGACTAACTAACACTTTAGATTATTTTTTTAAATAACATAACCCTAAATCTTACTATAAACCGGAGAACTGGTGCCCGTTCAGGAGGTGCAAGAGGAAGTACCTCTGCCTCTTAAAGGGTTAAGTTACTGGGCTTATGCCTGAGCTGCGTTAGTTATGTGAGCTTATTTCCTCATAACTGTCTTTATGATTTATTATTATTACTGCAGTGGTCTTATATAGCGCTTCACATAAAAATAATGGCAAAAATAAACATAGAGTTGTTCTATTTGTACACCATCTTTCTCCTAAACATTGTAGCTAATTTTACTGTATTTGTTTAGGGGGACTGATTAGGTTGTAAATTAATGAACACCCAGTTAGTGATAACTTGAAAAAGTCAACATGAAACAATTTTTAATGTAGCAAAGTTGGAATCAGCAATAAGAAACGAATGTCATAACTCAGTGGTCCCCAAATGGCGGTCGGTGGACCTTCACCGGTCCCCATGCCTAACGCTACCGGTCCGCATCCCTAACGCTGCCGGCCCCCATAACATAAATATTTATTGATTGTCAAATAGCAATAAAATTATAACAATAAATCATGCACCGGTCCCTGGTAAAATTTCGAAACTTGTTCACCGGTCCACCAAATTTAAAAGTTTGGGAACCACTGTCATAACTGACCTATGGGGTAATGGATTGTTGGTAATATCTGGGTAATATTAAAATATTGAGTTAGAAAAGACTGTTTCTGTTGATATAATTTTATTTAATTTGAAATGCTATTCCCTGTCATATCTCTGTCATAAAGGTTGATCGATTGGTAGTCTCACTTATTTGTCTTGTCTTGAAATTTTAACTTGAAAAGGCAATTAGCATTTTTATTGTCCTTAGAGTGGAGTTGAGTATATTGCCTCCCCTGCTGGGTCTGTTTCTGACAAGATTGTGGTTGAAGCAAGTGATGAACACAACATTGTCCTGATCCACACAAACCTCAGACTCTTCCACCACTGAGTTCATCTTCATGGGCCGGCCTGGATTGGCACAAGAGACGTACTGAGTTCAGTCTTGATGTTCCAGCAAGACTTCAGTAGTCAGGAGCTAACTTAGCTTCATTTTTATCGCTTTAATTACATTTCTGAAACTTACCCTTGACATGATTTTATTTGTAACTCTGTTGTTCACTGCTGGCATTATCCCAAATGTGACTAAATTCCACAAAAATTGATATTATTGCTGTGTTCATGAATGAATGTATACTCTGTTATCTTGCTTTAGAGGAAAAGCCTCAGATATCCTGTATGTGATTGAAAGCTTCTGGTTAAAGGAGTTATTTTTAATTGGCATTTACATTTTTTTTAAATGATTTGATATTAATTTTTTTTTGTTTATTGTATTTTTGTTTAAATTCATGTCTGATGTAATTAAGATGAAACATTTTTTGTTTAAAATATTGATCATACCTTTCACCAGTGGTCTGCAAATCGTGGCTCTTTAGCGACTTCAGTGAGGCTTGGCCAGTCTGCCAAAAATTGTTTCTGACTCCGAAAAACATGGTTTTTGAAAAGAAATTGGGCTCTCAAAATTTGTTTTATCGTCCTGCTGCTGATTTTTGGCTCTTTTGACTGAGTTTGCAGACCACTGTTTACACCAATAAGTTGCTGTTTTTTAAATTGGTGTCTCTAACCCTTGGAGCTCCATCAAGCAGCCTGCAAAGTGATTAGAAGTAGCATTGATAGACCACCCGTAGTAATGACTTGTGGGCGTGTAGTGTGACATTAACATAGCCCCATCCGTTGGGTGGTGGTTGTGATAGTTTTCAAAGTAACTGGTTAAATATCACCAGGAGGTCACTTATGACATAAGTTATTTGCCCGTTTTAATTTGAACTTTAATGGTCATAGTGTTGACAGAAGTTGATAAGCAATGTATTTTGTTAAATGGTATGGGTATTCCATTCACAAATTATCATATTTCTGCTTCATGCATTGTAAAAATCTATCTTATTCAGTGAAATTTGTAATGTAAAATTAAACATAAAATTAGTATGTCAGCTTATCAACCAACTTACAATGGTTTCCGTTTAAAAATAACATTCAGCTTTATGATGTATGCATACAAAGAGTAATTATCATTTTTTTTTTAAAAACTGTTTTCTTATAAGAAAGCTTTCACCCTTTTCAAAAGAATTTAATAGTGCTGGTAGTATTGCTGAAAAATGTGTTGGTAGTATTGCTGGGTGGTAATCAATGTTCCCTTTAAGCTGCACGGCCGCGCAGTAATCTCACTGACGCACGCAGCAGTTTTGAGTACCACTTAAGGGTGTTTGTGTCTGTAGGCTGTAAAATTTGCGCACAAAATAATTGATGCTGTAAAAATTTGCACACAAATTTATGATTTTGCACACGAACCAACAAAGCTTAGAGGGAACATTGGTGGTAATGATGTTGTGCTATACTCTGAGCTTTAATCAGATCTTCATTGTTAAAAACTTTGCACTTAGGTTAATAAGTTTCCTTTTATTTGCTGATTGTCATTTTTTTTTTCCTGTTGGTTTCATACCTCACTTACATTGTTTGCTTATCCAGAAATAAGTTTTTACGTTAAAATTTTGCTTCAAATTTCTTTTTGAACGCATTATTTTGTTTTACTATATAGTATAGTGCGTTCAAAAAGAAATTTGATAAAGATTTTAACGTGTGAACTGAAAAAAAAGATTCAATCAAATTTCCGTCGATCAATTTACCGTTGACGAAATTTCTTTCGATTAAATTTCCGGTAACCCAATGTTTGATGTTTTGTCATTTTCATCATAAAAAGAATAATTGTTAATTAGGGAATAAAAATAATTGAAATAACACATGCTGTTTCAGAATCTTTCTTCTTTTACTTTTGTTAATAATGCAATTAAGTAAGACACCTGCCCTTAAATAAATAAAAAAAAGTAAGGCTAACCTCCCTTGTGAAATGTTGACTAGACCTTTAACTTTAAGACATTTCATAGAAGTTTCCTTTGTTTAGACCAGATTCCCAAGCTTAGAAGAAGTTTTGGAAAATGTATTGGTTGTACATGTTTTGATACTGCGATACTGATGTGTTACTGTTATTTAGTTTTCGGAATATTATTATTATAAGTGGTTTTATACAGCGTGGTACCCAAGCCTAGGGCTGGGCTCACCACTCTGTACCTAAAAATAAAATTTAACAAACATAATCAAAAACTTTAAAAAATTAATAACATACATTATTAATTAAATAAAACAAAAATGTATATTTAAAACTATTTACATGCCAAGCCATGGACGACATCCATCAGCATCGTTTTTCGGTCAGATGTGGGAATCAGTCAGGATAGTACTAGTAGAGTTTAAAAAGACGTGTTTTGAGTGCAGTTCTGAAGGCTTTCAATTCAAGCTTCCATAGACTTTGTCCCACCATTTCCTATTAAATAAATAAGCATTATGAAATTAAGTGGCCCGAAAATACAAGCTCACTCCCGCCTTTTTTTCCCTAGGTCAGTACTGATTTTAGGATCTGTTGACCAAATGGGTTGTTGTGGTATCTTCCATTAAAAGATTATAGGAATGAGCTGAATTTTTCATCTGATTAAAAACTGTTTTTCAAACTGCTGTAACAATTGAGTGCATCACTACAAGACTACAAGTTACTACAAGGGTTTAGTTACAGCTAGGCATCACCTGACATTTTCAAGTAGCTCTAATCAATTTAATTGAGCCCGTCTTAATGACTGCGACAAATCAGCATCTTCGTTTAACTAAATCAAATATGCAGATGGTGTGCCACCACTAGCGTAGGAAAGAGAGGGCCGTGAGCCCCTGTGCCACCACTAGCGTAGGAAAGAGAGGGCCGTGCGCTCCTGTGCCACCACTAGCATAGGAAAGAGAAGGCCGTGCGCCCCCTGCCACCACTAGCGTAGGAAAGAGGGGGCCGTGAGCTCCTGTATCACCACTAGCGTAGGAAAGAGGGGGCCGTGAGCCCCTGTGCCACCACTAGCGTAGGAAAGAGGGGGCCGTGAGCCCCTGTGTCACCACTAGCGTAGGAAAGAGGGTCGTGAGCCCCTGTGCCACCACTAGCGTAGGAAAGAAGGAGCCGTGCGGCAATACCCCCCCCCCTTTTTTATACCGAGGAATGGCATTTCGGCCAACGGAAAGAGGGTCGGGAGCCCCTGTGCCACCACTAGCGTAGGAAAGAAGGAGCCGTGCGGCAATACCCCCCCCCCTTTTTTATACCGAGGAATGGCATTTCGGCCAACCTCAGATTTTTTCGTGGGGTGGAAGTGCATCAATTTTTTTTTTACTTACCCCCTCCCCTTCCCGACTGGCAGCAACTCTAGCTACGCCACTGGGTGCCACGTTTTTCACCAGTACTCTCGCTAGCTTCGATAGTAGCTAAAGAAAGTTGTGTACGGTATTTGGATAGTTACACTAAGCAAGGCTTAGGGAAAACCTAAACAATCTAAAATACGTCTAGTAGGCCTATATTATGGTGCAAGGTTTGGGGGTGGGGGGGGGGAAGAGAAGAACAGCTACCGGTATATTTAATTTAGCTCCGGGTGTTTCGATTTTAAGACAAGATTTCTTGGTGATAGCAGTATAGAAAAACAATGATTGGAATGCATTACAGAATGGTTAGATCACAAGCGGGTCCAAAGGTGTGGAGGAAAGGGGGGGGGGGGGTTTCAGGACAGATGCGTACTGAAGATACGCAATTCATTTGAAA